AACGATACCATTCCCTAGGAGGGAAAGACTCCCATTGGTCTTTATTCTAGCAATCTCATTGGTTGTTATTTGTAAATAGGCGTGGCTACATTAGCCCGGTTATGTTTAAAAGGAGCATAAGCTCCCACTGTTTTCTGTTCTGGTTTCTTACTGAGTTAGTGCTTGCTCGTTACTTCCAATAAAGCTGAATCACTTGCTGAATCACTCTACGGTTCCTTTGTTAGCGCGAGCTCTGTGCCTTTAGATCCCAGGAACTCTGAGGGTGGTTCCCGGGGGGGGGGGACATCATAGATGAACACACATGAAGCTGCCTTGTACTGAATCAGACCATCGGTCCATCAAGGTCAGTCTTGTCTACTCAGAATGGCAGCAGCTCTCCAGGGTTTCAAGCAGAGATCTTTCACATCACCTCCTGCTTGTTTCTTTTAACTTGAGATGCCGGGGATTGAACCTGGGACCTTCCGCATGACAAGCAGATGCTCTGCCACTGAGCCAGGGTCTCGGGTCAAGGTCTTTCCCACCACCTCCTGCCTGGTCCTTTTAAGTGGAGATGCAGGGGATTGAACCTGGGGCCTTCTGCAAGCCAAGCAGAGGCTCTTCCATTGAGCCACCGCCCTTCCCCCAGATGCTGTGATGTCATTTCCGGATGATCACCTGGAAAAAACACCACAGCTCCCACAATGCTCTAGGAACGACTTCAGTCTCTATGGTAAAGGCCATAGAGATAAGGGGAAATTTCTAGAGCATCTAGATCCCTACCTGGCAGGGAATGGCACGGAATATAAGTCTGTTAAAATAAAATAAACAAATAGTTGATGTTGTGAGGCCATGTCTCCTCCCCCCCCCCCCCCCCCCCCCAATCAAGTGTGAGCAATTGTGGGCAGGGGTGGAAGTTTGTCAGCTGCAGGCAGGCAAATGGTAAGCCTGTTCAGAAGTCGTAGACTTACACATTCCTTTAAACCAACCAATGGCTGGATTCTGAATAAGGCAGCCCTCATGTGTTCAGCAGAGTTGCCATGCAATTCGTTTGCAACGTGAGGAGGGAGTTTTTGCATTTGGCTCCGTCGCCTGTGGCAGCCATTTTGGGATGGTGCTCAGCACTCCCCCCCCCCAAGTTCTGAATGTGCCCTCCAACTCAGAAAGGTTCGAATCCCCCTGCTCTAAGCCAATCTTGTGAGATTGTGAGAAAAGCTTTCTTACTGGAGATCTCGCAAGCAGCCTATGGACGAAATATGACTTGAAATCAGGTTGCATAGAAACAAATCCAGTCCACTCTGTGCTGAACTATACTAGTTCTTACAGTCCATTGTTCCTTATGTACTGGGCAACCCAATCCGCCTCCAGTCTAGGTTTTCACTAATAGTTACCATGGGTATAGGTTACTGTGGTTCAGATTAGATATAATGCAAACCCATGGTTTATTGGAACCAGTGTTCCCTCTAAGCTGAGTTAGTGTGAGCTAGCTCACAGTTTTTTAGCCTCCGGCTCACACATTTTTGCCTTAGCTCAGGATGGATGGCTCCAAAGCAAACCGATTTATGCAGTAGCCAAATCGCTCACTCACCACTTTAATACCAGAAGCTCACAAAGTAGAATTTTTGCTCACAAGATGCCACAGCTTAGAGGGAGCATTGATTGGAACCGTGTTTAATTTGTGAAACTCAGACGTGGCTCACAGATGACAGGGTGAGCCCCTCCCACCAGAGCCAATGCAACAGCTCCAACTGGCAGCAGGAGGAGGAAAGGGGCGGGGCTTCAGGATAGAACCCTGGAAATGACTTCCGGGCCAACCCCAATGTCACGGACCACCCCATTTTCCTGCCACCAACCCTCCTGCCAATTGACAGGCTAGGCCTGGAAATCCTAACCAAAGGTCAATCAAATCCTGGTTTGTCTCGACAAATGCTTGCTTCAGTTCCTTTGCTCTGTAGCCTGGGAGGGCATTGGCGGAGAAAAAATCTGGATCAAAGCAGGATTAAGCCAGGATGTCTGCCTTCCCACATCACGTAAAACCCTATTCAAGACTAACTGTGGTTAATAAAGCAACTTTAGATCTTGGCTTCGCATCCTGGTTTAATGGACTCTAACTAACCATAACTGTGTCCAAAGAATCCAGACAATCAGACCAAACATAGTTTAATCACACCAGGGTTTTTACCAATGTCTGAACCAAGCCCTTTTCTGTGATTCAACCAATGATTGATATTTTGCAACTGTAGTAGAATCTGGGGTTTAAAATTGTGCGCCAAATATGCTATAATATCCGTTTATTCAGACAGAACTTGCAGCATGTGTTCTGCTTTCCTTAGCAATGTGAAAGAGTTGTTAAGTAAACCAAGTTATAATATAATATTCATTTTCATAGAGTCATAGAGTTGGAAGGGATCTCCAGGGTCATCAATCCCCTGCACAATGCATGAAATTCACAAATACCTCCCCCCACACCACACAGTGACCCCTGCTCAATGCCCAGAAGACGGCAAAAAATAAGCCCTCCAGGATCCCTGGCCAAACTGGCCTGGAGAAAAATTGCTTCCTGACCTCAAAGTAGCATTCAGCATTTCCCTGGGTGTTTATTTGTCCAATAAAAGCTCTATGACTCAATATCTAGAGCAGTATAACAATCTGAAATTTATCCTTCCATTTTCCATTTGTATAATTTCATTTATAATCTCTATTAATTTCCCAAAAGACAAAAGGAATAAAATATTTTTTCCAAGGTTATATTAGGCTTTTGATCTGAGAGTAGGGTGGATTAAAATTATTGAAATTCACCAGCCATGATGGAATGAAATAGGATATAGAGGGCATTCCAATAATATATGAGAGATAGTGTCTATTTTACCAAGGGGGCAAGAGCAAATTCTCTCACAAGTAGGTAGGGAGGATGGAAAAAGCAGCCTCTTGTAACCACCATTGAACGGGCATTCATTCTAGCAAGAGTAAAAGCCCTGAGTAGACCAGGCCAGATCAGATGATAAGAATAAAAAATTGTGAAGAACAACCTTGTCAAGGGCGGAACTATCGTAATCACTGTTCCCTCTAAGCCGAGTTAGTGTGAGCTAGCTCACAGTTTTTTAGCTTCCGGCTCACACATTTTTGTCTTTGCTCAGGAAGGGATGGCTCCAGAGCAAACTAATTTATGCAGTAGCCAAATCGCTCGCTCGCTCACAACTTTAATGCCAGGAGCTCACAAAGTAGAATTTTTGCTCACAAGACTCCACAGCTTAGAGGGAACATTGATTATAATCAATCTGCCTAATCTGTTTCTTAATTGTAATTGCTGATTCAGCGAGCCCCAATTCCTCAATAGATTCAGTGGTACAACCAATAGCTGACAGTAAGGTTAACTTACTACAGCTCCAAGTCCAGGTAAGAGAGAAAAGAAGAGAGGTCCCATAGAAGATGAAACAGGAGGCAAGCAACGGCCAAAGAAGCTCAACATCTAACCGATGAGAGGGTAGAGCCAACTGCCAAGTGTACCAGAGAGAGAGAGAGAGGAAGAATGAGAATTTTGGTAACCCTTTCCCTCCCAGATCCACTTGCATGCAGAGTTACATTCAGGGGTCTTGTTGTAGAAAAAGAGCTGCCGGAGCTCATTAGCATAACTCATTAGCATAACTTATTTGCATATGCCATGCCCCCTGACATCACCGGAAGTGACAGAAGGCCACACCCCCTGACATCACCGGAAGTGTGTCAGAAGGCCCGGCTACTTACCCTCCTGCTTCATCCTCATTCCCAAACGGAATGAGGATCGAAGCAGAGGGCGGGGTAAAGAAGGGGGCGGGGCTTCACCACGTGACCGCCCCGCCCCCTAGAGGTTCTCTTCCGGAGCTCCGTACCTGAGAGCTCCCCCCCGACTAGAGCCCTGGTTACATTATCCAACAATAATCACATGTTATGAAACTGCAGAAACGGAAGGAAGTGCTTCCGGAGCCCAAATATGGTTTTGCTGGGCCTGGTACAAACCTCTACCATACCCTCCCCACCACCCACCCATACAATCTCATCGAGGGTTGGGAACCTCCAGGTGGGCCTTGGAGTTGTCCCAGAATTACAACAGATGACAGGGATCAGCTCCCCTGGAGAAAAGGCAGCTTCAGAAGTTGGACTCTCTGGCCTCACACCCCTACTCCAAACGCCACCCTCCCAGTCACTGCCCCAAATGTTCAGGAATTCCCCAAGCTGAAGTTACCTGCACTAATGCACGCAGAATTTCAGGAGCCATGGAGAAAACATTGCTTTTATTTCTGAGATGACATAACATGGATCATAAAATGGACTTGTAGCCTGGACCAGATGAGAATATCAGAAGAGACCTGCTGGATCAGACCAGTGGTCCATCTAGTCCAGCATCCTGTCTCACACAGTGGCCACTCAGTTCCTCTGGAGGGTCAACAACAGGGCAGAGAGGCCGAGGCCTTCCCCTGATAAGAACATCAGAAGAGCCCTGCTAGATCAGACCAGTGGTCCATCTAGTCCAGCATCCTGTCTCACGCAGTGGCCAACCAGTTCCTCTGGAGGGCCAATGACAAGGCATAGAGCCAAGACCTTTCCCTGATGTTGCCTCTTGGCTCTGGGATTCAGAGGGTTCGTGTCCCTGCATGTGGAGGTTCCCTTCAGTTATCATGGCTAGTAGCCACTGGTAGACTTCTCCTCCATGAATCAATCCAGGCCCCTAAGAATATAAGACTTGTAGGCTACAGTGAAATGTACCCATTTAGCCTCCATCATTTGTGCCATTTCATCTAGACCAATCAGGCAGCAGAATCTCCTAAAAATTCTCCTTTAATGCTTAGGAGCATGTCTACACTAAGAATTGAGGTGAATTTTATGACACTTTAACTGTCCCAGGTTGCCCGAAGGAATCCTGCGAACAGTAGCTAGATGAAGGTGCATAGAATTAATTCTGTTAGGCTAGAGATCCCCACTTCTCACAGAACTACAGTTCCCAGATTTCCTGGCGTATGAAGGAATGACCTTCCTTTTCCCTTGTGTCATCCTTGGAAGGATCTAAGCCTGCCGACCAGTCTCTTCAAGGCAGCCTTCATCTCATTGTTCCTGAGGGTGTAAATGAATGGGTTCAGCATTGGAGTCACCACTGTGTACATGAGGGAAGGAACAACACTCTTGTCCGAGTTCTTAGAAGGAGGCTGCAAGTAGACCCAGCAGAGGTTACCATAGAACAGGATGACCACGCTCAGGTGGGAACCACATGTGGAGAAGGCCTTGCGCTTCCCGTGTTTGGATGGGACATTTAGAATGGTGTAGAAAATGCGCACGTAGGAAATCACGACGAGGAAGAATGGGCCCAGGACATCCAAAAAGCCTTCCACCAGGGCCGTGGTCTCTATAAGACTGGTGTCGGAGCACGAAAGTCCCAGCAGAGGGTAGATCTCACAGAAGAACTGGGGGATCTCCCGAGTGGAGCAGAAAGCAAGGCGAGACATCATCAAGGTGTACAGCAAAGAGTGGAGAGACGCCAGGACCCAACAAGTGGTCACCAGTAGAAGGCATCGCTTGTGACTCATCAGGGTGGTATAGTAGAGAGGGTGGCAGATAGCCAGGTAGCGGTCATAGGCCATGGAAGCCAAGAGGAAGCTGTCTGTGTTGCCGAAAGCCATGTAGGAATACATCTGCACCAAGCACCCACTGTAAGAGATGGTCTTGACCTGGAAGAGAAGGTTCTGCAGCATCTTTGGGATGGTCACAGAGGCAAATCCCACATCAGCCAAAGAGAGGTGGGTGAGGAAGAAATACATGGGAGTCTGGCAGAGGTGAGCATCTAAGCGAATCAGCAGGATGATCAGCAGGTTGCCCAGAAGAATGAGCAGGTACATGGCGAGGAAGAGAGAGGCCAGGAGACGCTGGTGCTCCGGCTGCGTGGAGAGATCCAGAAGGAGGAACCCAGAAAGCTCTGTTTGGTTTTCTTTCCTCATGGTTCACCTGCAAAGGGGGAGAGGAAAGATGCCGACGTGAATGAGGACAGGGGAGAGAGAAGGAACGTTAGAAGAGCCCTGCTGGATCAGACCAGTGAGGGTCCATCTAGTCCAGCATCTCACACGGTGGCCAACCAGTTCCTCTGGAGGGCCAACAACAGGACAGAGAGACCGAGGCCTTCCCCTGATATGAACCTAAGGAGAGCCCTGTTGGATCAGACCAGTGGTCCATCTAGTCCAGCATTCTGTCTCACACAGTGGCCAACCAGATCCTCTGGAGGACCAACATCAGGGCAGAGAGGCCAAGGCCTTCCCCTGATATGAACCTAAGAAGAGCCCTGCTGGATCAGACCAGTGAGGGTCCATCTAGTCCAGCATCCCGTCTCACACGGTGGCCAACCAGTTCCTCTGGAGGCCTCACAACAGGCTACAGAGGCCAAGGCCTTCCTCTGATGTTGCCCCCTGGCTCTGGGATTGAGAGGCTGAGTGCCTCTGAAAGCGGAGGTTCCTTTTAATCGCCATGGCTAGGAGCCACCAATAGACCTATCCTTGATGAATCTACCTAATCCCCCTTTCAAGCTGTTTGTTCCTGCGGCCATCACTACCTCCTCTGGCAGCGAATTCCACATTCTGATCCCTCGCTGTTTAAAGAAGTCCTTCCTTTTGTCCGTCGTGAATCTACTGCCCGTCGGCTTCATTGGATGCCCTCCAGTTCTAGTATTTTGGGAGGCGGAGATGAAGGGCAAGCATCTGTGTGGAGTAGATCGACCAAGTCCCCACTCCTATGTGTGCTGCAGTTAGTGTTGGAGTAAAGGCAGCTCAGCATGCCTGGACACTGAGGGGGGGGCACTATATTTCCCTTTTCTCTAGAGCCAGACGGTGTATATGCGTGATGTCTCTCTATTTGTCCGTGCTAGAATCCTCTCTGCCCTGAATCCTCGATCTCTTTCTGTGTCTAGACATTTCGCCCATATATTTATTATATATTTATTTAAAACATATATTCCACTCCTCCTGGAGAAAATGGCTGCTTTAGAAGGTGGACTGCGTGGCATTGTATCCAACCAAGGACACCCCCCCCCCGCCATCCCCGATCTCCCAGGTTCCGCCCTCAAATCTCCAACCACTTCCGAACCCAGAGATGGACACTCTAATCGGAACACACTTTTAATAACAACAGAATCAGGGGCTTTTAAGAAGTAATCCCTTAAGGAACATGGGCAGGCTTGCCCCTCTGACCTGCCGCAAATCTGGTTTGTCGTACCATCCCCTAAGGAGCTGCGGTGGCTCAAGTGGCTAAGACGCTGAACTGCAGGCTGTGGAAGGTCAGTAGTTCAGCAGTTCGAGACCCGGGTGCCGCCTGATGGAGTGAGCTCCCGTCTCTAGTTCCAGCTCCTGCCAACCTAGCAGTTCGAAAGCAAGAAATTGCAAGTAGATAAATAGGTACCACTTCAGTGGGAAGGGAACAGCATTCCATGCGCCTTGGTGTTTAGTCATGCCGGCCACATGACCACGGAAACATCTTCGGACAGCCCTGGCTCTTCGGCTTTGAAACGGAGATGAGCACCGCAACCCTAGAGTCGGATTCGACTGGCTTTTGAGCAAGGGAACCTTTACCTTTTTACCATCCCCTAAGTCTTCCAGATCACATTGCACCTCTTCTTTTTTAGAGGAAATTCTTCCCTCACTTCTGGCTTAACAATAAAGAATTAAAGTGGAATTGTGGGGAGCTCACATGTAGACACTTGCAGAAGGAGACAAACCGAGAGGCAGAATCACACACACACACACACACACACACACACACACACACATAAAGGCAGAACTGAATGGTAACCTGATTCTAGGAATATTTACTCATATTTAAGTCCCACTCAGTGTTCAGTGGGATTTGCTGGTTGCAATCCTGTCAAGAAGAAGAAGACGAAGACGAAGAGTTGGTTTTTATACCCCACCTTTCACTACCCAAAGGAATCACAGAGCGGTTTAGGATCTCTTTCCCTTCCTAACCTCTCCCCACAACAGACACCCTGTGAGGTAGGTGGGGCTGAGAGAACTGCTCTTGAGAGAACAGCTCTGAAAGAACTCGTGACTGACCCGGCATCACTCAGCGGCTGCATGTGGAGGAGTGGGGAATCAAACCCGGTTCTCCAGATTAGAGCTCTTAACCACTACACCAAACTGATGTCTAAGGGACCCCATTGAGTCTGCTGTGAGACCGGTTCCTGGATTTCTGCCCCAAAGTTCAGCGTTGATGGTATCCATAATTCAGAGTGCTGACTGCCATAAAAAGTAGCTGTAGGTCATTCATTCTTGAATATCATGGTATGTTTGTTCGAAACTTCCTGCCATTAGAACAACCTACACTAGAGACCATTAAAGAAGTCTATACCACTTTTAAAACTATGAGCTTCTGAGAAGCCTGGTTGTTTCCGACTTAAGTGGTTCCTTCTCACCTTTGTCTGGTGGAGATCCCTAAAAACATAGTCTCTAGACAATTTCCGTTGGATATTTGACTTCAGCATTCACAAAAGAGAGTTTTTAGAAGAACATTAGTGTCTGGTGTATCTCCATTCACGTGGGCTTGTATCATCTGACACCTGCAGAATTGTTTTGCAGTAGTTCTCAGTTATCTTTCTTTCCAGAAGACCATCTTAAATTGGATGTTAAAAGCTGGTGTCCAAATGAATACACACGTGAAGGTGCCTTATACTGAACTGGACCCTTGGTCCATCAAAGTCAGTGTTGTCTACTCAGACCGGCAGCAGCTGTCCAAGATCTCAGGCAGAGTCTTCCGTATCTAGTACTACCTGGTCTTTTCAACTGGAGATGCCAGGGGTTGGACCTGGGACTTTCTGCATGCTAAGCAGATGCTTTACCACTGAGCCACGGCCCCTCCCCTGTTAAGGATTAACGGCTGGATTTCCCCACCCAGTAAAGGAGATGCAAGGATAGAGGTGCAGGCAGATCAATCTGAAAATGGTTAAAATCCATTACAGACCAAATTACAGATGAAACTCTATGAGATCCTTCACCTGTACAGAATACAAGAAAAGTCTCAGCCTCGTCAACTAGATGAGACCAGCCCATAAACTAATCCAGAGGTACTGGATGCTCCACTCCAAATGATCCAATTTCTCCAATACAGGTAAAAGGCATTAGAAAAGAGCAAGAGTCTAGTAGCACCTTAAAGACTAACAAAATTTGTGGCAGGGATGAGCTTTCATGAGTCACTGCTCACTTCTTCAGGTATAAGGTATGTCAAGGATGTCCGGAACAAAGTTGGAGTCCGGCGGCACCTTTAAGACCAACATAGTTTTATTCAAGGTATATGCTTCCGTGTGCACACACACTTCTTCAGATATATATCTATGTACCTGCAGAATATGTATCTGAAGAAGTGTGCGCGCACATGAACATTTATACGTTGAATAAGACTTTTGCCGGTCCTAAAAGGTGCCGCTGGACTCAGACTTCGTTCTGCTGCTTCAGTCCAACACGGCGACCCACCTGGATCTATTTTAAAGGACGTCCAATTTGTGAATAAAACTTCAGATTGGGAGCTGATGCATGACAGCGCATGGTGGTTTCTCCTCGTCCTGCACTCTCCAGATTACAGAGATCTTTTCTTTGCTTGGTTGCTGAATGAGTTGCAGTATGGTGGGAACTCATGCCTACACGGCAGTGGCTCTGTTTTGCTGAGAAAATGTTTCTATATTTCTGTGACACTGCTGATTCCCCTGTGTCGGTGGTTGGTGCCATCAGGTGTTCCATGGGGAGATTGTTAGCTCTGAATTGTTGCCCTTCTCTTGTGATTTCTGCAGTGCCGAACCACTTCCTTTTCAGTCTATTCGGTTTTCTCAGCCGAAGATTAGAGATGTAAGATTTCTGAAAATCCTGAAGCCACTGTGGAGCAGGGGGATTATTTCCAGAAAAATGGGAATGTTGGGGGAAACAGAAATATATGCAATGCTATTAGGGTGTGAAGTGCATGTATGCACTGTGACAGAGACGAAGCTGCAGAGGCCATTTTGTAGCTGGCTCTGCTTCCTGTGGAAGCCATTTTGTTGTTACACCCATAGGGGTGCCAAGTGGGGGCGGGGAAACCCACGCTTTGGAGGCCCGATTTCTGCCGCGGCGGAATCGGGCCCCGGGGGGGACTCCGCCCCCCGAAGCTCCATCACCAGAGGCGATGCATGACGTACAGCACATTGGGGGCGTGGCCCAGATCGTCGGAGGGAAACCATATGGTTTCCCCCCGATGACCTGGACCACGTCCCCAACGTGCTCTATGTCCTCGCTCCCCAGCAGAGACAACACCCCCCCGCCGGTGAGTCAGAACGACTTGGCAACCCTATACACCCACCATGCTGTGTCAGAATCTGAAAGGTCCCCGCAGGCTCCAAAAGGTTGGGGAACACTGTTCTAATGCATTAGAATATGGCACCCTTGGTATCTAGAGCATGTGCACTAGCTGTACGGATCTTCCAAAAGGATGTAAAAAATAATGGCAGCCCTGTACAACATTGCAGGTGGGCACATTGGTCTCTGGAACTCACGTACAGACCCCAGCCCATGGACTGATGACCAGGGCTATTTTGGGGCAGGAACGCACAGGAACGGAGTTCCGGCTGGCTTCAGAGTTGGCCACGCCCACTACAGCCAAAACCTCTGTGTGCATGGCTACAGAGGGAAGGCCTGGAGAGCGACCCCCCCTGCGACTCCGAAATGGGCAGACCGGGGGGGGAGAGCTGAAAGGATTTAAATCCCTCCCCGTGCCTTCCCCGGCCTGTCCAAGGGCCAGCTTGCCCAGGCTCCCCACAGCAATAGGGTGCCCAGGCAAGCCAAGGGAAGGCAGTTTAAACTGCCTTCCCTTCCCTTCAAGGGGGGGCTTGCCCAGGCTCCCTACAGCCGTGGGGCACCCAAGCAAGCCAAGGGAAGGCATGGGAGTGTGGCCTACTATGCTAATGAGCTGTGCTGCCAGGGTGCAGTCTAATATG